CACCACACTCAGCTAATTTTTAAAAAAATTTTTTTGTAGAGATAGGCTCTGGCTATGTTCCCCAGGCTGGTCCCAAACTCCTGGCCTCAAGTGATTCTCCTGCCTCAGCCTCGCAAAGTGCTGGTCTTACAGGCGTGAGCCACTGCCCCGACTGACAATACATTTTTAAACAATATACTATAGAATAATGGACTAGGTTACTTGTGGCTAGAGGTAACAAACCCCAGGCCCCTCCTCTTAGGCACACTTGAAGATTGAGAGGAAAAATCTCTCAGCACATTGCAATCTTCTAGTGGCATCCTCTTCTGGTTTGGTGGATCTTGTTGCAGCCTTTCTGCAAAATTCTAATAGAAGACAGCTTTGCTCATAGAAAGTGATGTTCTAAGAGCAACTGAGTTGCAACCTGACCTTGGCTGATTTTTTTCACCTAGAATCCTCTTAAGTCTCATTCATTACATTTTATATTCTGTGGGTTTTCTTACCATCTGGAAATGCTAGAACAGGGTGAACACAGAAGTCCAACTGGGAGAGACGTTCCAACAGAGGGGCTTCATAGTGAATTTCAGGAGGCATGGTGTTGATACTGCCTGAACCACACAGTGCACAGGATGGATTCACATCACAGCCAGAGCGGATTGTACTGTTCCGGTGAACCTGTGAAAAGCCAAACAAAACTCTGACAATTCAGCTCTGATAAAACCCTGCTCCCCACTTGTTATTCCAAAGACATAGAAAACCTTTCTAAATATCTATATGACACTGTTAACAGAATGGCTGATGAGTTTGTTGTAAGATTTCCATTTGTCTAACATACTGACATTGAAAGTAAGGAAACTTGCTTCTTTTTCAATGATGAAAGTCAATTATTTGAAGCCCTACTGCTAACCTATGTATCAAAGTTGTGAACAGTATAAAAGATACTATAATAAAATTCTGCTTTCTGAGACTACTTTACAAAACCTGCATGCTTTCACCATCTTCACGGACTTTAAGGTGTTCTCAAACAAGGTGGCAAGTTTTCCTGAACTGTAACTCATTAACTACTCTTTTTCTATTAAACTTCCTTTGTATACATGTGGGCAGAATAATCAATAACCTCTCCAGCTAAGTAAGTCCAGAGTGAAATATGAACTACTTTAAGTCTTCAAAAGATTTAACCCTATAAAAG